CAGAGGTCGCGAAAGCTTGCCGGTTACAGGCACCGACAGCATAAGCCAGGCCTGTAGATGGTGCTGTTCTCACTGAATCAGCCCATGCAAAGACAGTGTTAAATTGAGCGAAATGAGGAATGGCTAAAACGCATGATCTGTTTGTTATTATGAAAAATAAAAAGTATAAATATGCCTTATATAGGTATGGTCCTACACTATATTATTCAAATATAGCATGATAGGTCCACTTTAAGAAAACCTGTTTATACCAAATGTTTAAGATAAGATGGATCTTTATTAATGCCCGAGGGGAAATGCAGGAGTTTACACATAGTACGAGTTGTTTGATGTATGTTGTGTTTGCAGGAAGCCAACTGTAAGACGCACAAAGCCAGCAAGGTGCTGTTCCTGGGAAACCTGAAGATGCTCTTCACATCGGGAACTTCTCGCTGGAACGACCGACAGTTTGCTCTTTGGGATCAGGTGAGAGCTACAGGAAGTGTTTTCTGACAAATCCTCTCATTTCAGGTCCATTTATGCTTTTACAAGGCACTCGTATGCATTATTGGGTCTTAATTAGCTAATTGTAAGCTGGATCAGGTTTCAATATGTGGAGTTAATGCCATGTGATGACACCTACAATCACTTATCATCAGTTGACTGTAGTTCAACACTCAGGTTGTGTGGCGACACCTGAATCACCGACGATGATGATCTGACACTCTGTGGACCTTTGAGTTTAGATCATTTTGTCACACATGCTGTTCCCATCCTCAAGAATGAACTAGATATGGTAGTTATTTTATTTTCTTAGTTAATGTTTCAACCTTCTTGGGCTAAAAAGAGTTGCTAAAAAGAGTTCTTCTGAGTATCCCAGGGTTTTTTTTATATATATTTGTTCACAACAATTCAATAACTTGCAGTCAAAGTAGGGTTGTTTACATTCATTACTTACTGACTGTGTTTCCTGTTCTTTTTATTAATCTCCAAAATATTTATTTTAATATATAAAAGGTTTTTTTTCACCACAAAGAGGTTGGGCTGCGCTAAACTTTAAAAGATATATATATTTACATCATCAATTTAATTTGCCAATTGTCTTTCTAAATTCAGTGGTTACCCGTTTAGTCAATAAAACAACAATGACAAAGATAAATAAAAAGTGTATTGTTTTTTCCACAATGTTGCGCACAGGAAACGAACTGCAGTCGTTATTAAAAGGTTTGAAAATTGCTGGAAACCTTTGGGACAATGTAAGAACAACATTTAATAAAATGCATATCATAGGTCCAGTTGGTTTTTACACCTTTCAAAGTGTAAAAGTTACATATTAAACCGTTCAGACAAAAAAACGTGAGGAAAGTTGAATATTTTTGACCTAATAATCTTTGGGAAATGTACCTTACCAACTCATGGCTCATCTGTGTGAATCAAATTCTCTCACTGTAGAAACAAAAACATTTAGCATCGGTTCATCCTAATGTGTAATCTCATGGCTAAAACAATACTGAAAATGAACTCTCTCACAAACACATCTCTGCCATCTAGTGGAGAAACATGTGGATTTCGCTGTGTTTTGAGAGAGTGTATCGTGGGTGGAAGATTAAAGCTGACGCACGGATTAGGGATTGAGCACTCAGGCTTTTTAATTCAGCGCTGTAGAGTGTTCTTATGTAGAAGTGGATTTAAATGAGTGTTTTAATATTAGGGAATGTTGTCCATGTTGCTGGTGCTTCATTTTTTTATGTTATGTTTGTTTTCAGGATGATTTGTCTGTGCCTTTGCTAGAGGAGAACCTGGATGGTTCTTCAGGAGTCCTTTTTCCTTTCTACGACCCCGACACTCACATGCTCTACCTTGCTGGAAAGGTGGGTCTCTGACAGCAACTACAAAGTGTTAATACACAAATTACTTTTAATCACATTGTTATAAAGACTCCTCTTGTCTCTGTCAGGGTGACGGAAATATGAGGTACTATGAGATCGGCTCGGAAAAACCTTACATCCACTACCTAACAGAGTACCGCTCACACCAACCTCAGAAAGGAATGGGTAAGAAACACACAGATACACACATATAAATACACAGAGAGGTGCCATACATTTAAACTCAAACCCAGTATGTTGGAAGTCAAATTGTCCATACATAGTGTGTAAAATGTGGTTGTTTTTGAAACTATGCATGCCTTCTGGGCCTCTTGACTCTCTTGCACCTGTAAGCAAAGCTAATGTGCAAATAAGCCGGCGATATTTGAATAGCCAAACCAGCTGATCAGGGCGGAGTCAGAGATCAGGTGATATGAAGACAGACATGCACTCAAGGTTTAGACTTTAAACTCAAGAGATATTTTTGAATGAAAGAACTCTAGTTTGGGATTTTGCAAATATATTTTTGTATGGTACTAAACAGCGACCGTTCTTTGATATCAATCAACAGAGATATAAGCACAATGTAGACCTTTCACAGTCTTAGAGTACTATATATCATACCCTATGTTTCAGACGTTAAGATGATATTCAGGATGAAAGCTCTGTGGTAAAAATAATGTCGTTTTAAGTGAAGCTTTACAAATATGGGTTTCCCCTTTGAACTTGTTTAAAGTCTTAGATTCTCTACCTCTTTCTTTCCTTTTTCTACTTGCCTTTTTCATTTTTATACAAACTTAATGAGCATTGTTCCAGGGTGCCAGAGATCTAAGACTTTCATCCCCAACGATGGCATAACTGTAATTGTTGTGTGTATGACAATAAAAAAACTTGAAAGCAGCAGAAATGTAATAAATCCTAAAGAAACGCATGCCAGATTCATTATAAGGGTCTAAGGATTAAAACGCTATGGACCTTTTTCTATTGTGTGTGTCCTTAATAAAGTCATTACTGTTATTAAGTTGAGTGGGTGTTAAAAGCCTATCATTTCTGTTCTGCACACGGCCCCTTGGCCTGTGCACGGGTGGGTCCCACGTTGCCATATTTAATTTTTCCATCTCAATACTAACATACATGTATACTTGCAAAACTTTTTTGCCTTTTGCATTTTCAAAATGAGCATTACATTCATTCTTGTCAAGCCATAATGTATTTACAGTATATGTTTTTTTTACCGCAGTTATGTTTTGTCTTGGTTTTTATCACACCTTTTACCAAATATCCATTTTAGTGTTCAGTTAATACCTGTCAACTGAATATAACAAGATATACTATACATATATTAAAGCTCAGTTGTGCAGCTCTAAAAGTAAAAGTGTCTGTGTGTCTTCCTTCAGGCGTGATGCCTAAGAGAGGTCTGGACGTGAGCTCCTGTGAAGTTTTCAGGTTCTACAAACTGGTGACAACCAAGAGTCTCATCGAGCCTCTCTCCATGATCGTCCCCCGCAGGGTGAGAGCACAGCGTCTCCCACAAACACCAGGGAGATATACAAAATAAATACTCAATTTTGAATTAAATAGAATACGGAGAGCTAATCTGAATGTGTGTGTGTTTGTAGTCGGAGTCATACCAAGATGACATCTATCCGATGACTGCTGGCAACAGGCCGGCTCTGTCTGCAGAGGAGTGGCTCAGCGGCATCGATAAAGGTCAGACTTAGTGTGTGTGTGTGTGTGTGTGTGTGTGTGTGTGTGTGTGTGTGTGTGTGTGTGTGTGTGTGTGTGTGTGTGTGTGTGTGTGTGTGTGTGTGTGTGTATGANACTGTTTATAGTCCTTTGGTACTTAATAATAATAATAATAACAATACATGTGATTTATAAAGCGCTTTTCCTGGTGCTCAAAGCGCTTAAACATTTAATAATGGTTCTTCCTTATAGTGGTGGGAGAAGTAGTACGATCCTTTACTTTGGCATTTAAAGCAAAAGTACAGCAAATCTAGTATTAGAGCTGGTCAAAGTACGGGAGATTGGTCTTACTCTCCTGTAGTTTAATCAGTTTATTCAGTGTGATTTGTTAGAAGAAATATTCTAAACGTTATTTCACCATCATTCAGCTCATCTTCCTCCTCTCTTCCTCCTCCATCTCTCTTTGCCTTCTAGGTCCGGTGCTGATGTCTCTGAAGCCTGGAAGTCAAATAGCAGAGTCGTACTCGGAGATGGGTAAGGGGCTGGGAAACACACTGGACACGCGGCGCTCTCACAGCAGACCAGGCATGCTGCAGCTGGCCTACATTCAGGACAAACTGGAGACCAAAGAGGGAAAGGGGGACGGCGGCAACACAGAGGAGGAGAGGAGCTGGACGCCCGTCAGCAACGGAGAAGACTATGGACTCTGCTCTCCACCCAAGAACGAGAATGAGGTACGGGGGGGGATTTTGAGTTTAAATCCTACTGTTTTTGAAATTATTTAGTTTGCAAAGGCAGAGACGTTGTGTGCTTTCCAAAAGACCAATAGAAGAATTAGAGATGAGTCTACACTTTTGCATTGTCAATCCATCCTCCTGAATCCTGAAAGGTTTTCTTTAGAGGCATCTAACCACAACGTTATAATGGAACAAAATAATTATACATGACAGGACATTCAAACCAAATAATTAATCAAACGGAGACATCACTTTGAATGATGATGAGTTCATCAGTAAGTTGTGTAAAATATGAGCAAAATCATCATCAGTTAAAGGTGGGGTCGGTCATTTTGGAGAAACCAGCTCGAGTGCGCTCAAATTTGAAAATACACAACTGGAAAAAATCTGCCACTTCCTTACAGAGCCCCTCCTCCAACACACACGAACGCGCACATGACCAATGAGGGCACGAGATAAGTTTGTGCACTGATGGAAGGCTGACAGTAGGGTTGCATATCGTTGACTTTTTTACGATACTGATACCACTGAACGATACCGATACTCAACCGATACATATCGTGATACTTTCATGTTGCATAAGGGAAAAATTGAATCATCCCGCAATTACTCCCATGAAGCGCTTTATGATGTAGTTAACATGTCAAATGAATATTAAATTCAATTGTGGGACTTGGACCTTTTTAGTACTGAACAAACAATGAAAAACACGTTATCTATGAAGGAAACTGATTCTGCAATATCATTTATAACAACCATCAGGCATGAATAGCACACCTTGTCAATGGAAAAAGAATATGGCACCAGTATAATCAATATTCAACCTGAGATTCGACTGACCAGAGAACACATAAAGGATCATGAGATCTCGGCATTGCACATAAAACAAATAGCATCATTAAAATCAACATTTGCCTGATGAAAGAAAACTAATCCCATCACAGTTCAGTTATGTGCATTCATCTTCAAGAAGATGAGCATATCTGCTCTCTCTTGATCCAAACGGGCCCTTTCACAGTGTAGGATATCACCTACTGAACTGAACCCTCTCTCGCTTAGCACGCTGCTTCCCTGAACACAAAGGTACTTGGTTGCCATACGAGACAGCATTGGTTGGAGGTTGGATGTGTTGCCACCTTTCCCAGAAATAAACTTCTTACAGTGGTTACAGACCCCACCATTCAGACTGGCAGTGGTTACAGACCCCACCATTCAGACTGGAAGTCATATGCAGCCACACTTTAGATTTTCTAAAGTGACTCGTTTGCGGAGTTTCACGGCGAAATTGACATCGTAATTCCGACGGTTTGGGCGCGAGTTTAAGGATATTGCGCCTCACTTTTATATAATAATAAAAAAATAAAAATAATAAAGTATCGAAAACCTGATCTGATTTCGGTACGGTATACCATAGCCACCAGTAACCGGTATTTCGGTAATACCGGGAACCGGTATGCACCCCTAGCTGACAGGCAGGTAGGCCATCCAGTTATTTTAGCCGGGCCGGCTAAAATTATTGGTCGTGCTTTTTACAGCGCTACGGCTTCCACAGTTGACATTTTTTAATGTATTTATTGTGAAAGCATTTAATATATTCATTGCTATCAGGATGTTAAGAGCATTCCATGGAATATAACAATATAACAAAAAGTGTTTCTGAAATAAATTACATACCCCACCTTTAAAGTATGAATTATATAATTCTCCCCTCTCATCATGCAAACGAGGCGGTGTCGTTTTCTGAGTCCTGTCAGGCTGTGTAAACAGTTTCCACCAATTGGAGCAGGGCATTGGTCTCTGTGTAGCCTGAAAGGCAAAACCTTGTCTAAAAAAGGTCCAGTAAGTCCCAGCTGCTGCTCAAAAAGCTTAAGGATAAGGCTGCGGATGCTCTATATTTTTATTATTGACAGTAAATCCCATGAAAATGCCAAAATCAATATTCAAGTAATCCTACTTAGGGATTAAACTGAAATCTTTATCTTATTCCTCAGCGCACAAACATATACATGTACAGCAGATATGTAGTTTTATTACAATATCATACTGTTTGAGTACCCAGCCGTTTAAGGAATCAACCTTTTTCCTTCCCTTACATTTTAAACTATATATTTTTCAACAGTAATCAATGCCACTGACAGGTTTGGGGAGTCAGAAAGTATTAGTAGTGTGTAATGTATATGTTTCAGTCCATATTTATTTTTGTTCTGTATTTATCCTTATTTATTTTTTATTGGATTTTTGGTATATTTTTGCCCATATAAGGTCCCATGTCATGCTTTTCTGGTTATTACCCATCCCCTTGTGTGTTCAGTAGCTTTTTATGCATATAAACGGTCTGCAGAGTCACAAACCTTCAAAGTACACCCTGTAGCGAGTAAAACTCTAACACAGAAAAGACCTGTCTATGCTGCCGCAGAACGCCTCGTTGGGGATTTCTCTTGGGAATCTCTTTTGAGTTTGGAAAATTGCACAATATACATTTATTTTAGTAGACCTCAACAATGGAATTATGATCTGTAGAAATGGCCATGACATGTGACCTTTAACACGCTATTCATTATCAAATAAACCTGCACATTTATTTGATAATTAAGGCTTTTAATTCTAAGTTTGTTTCTTCATATTTATACTATTTTTTTTAATGGCAGCTTCAGTCCTCCATATAAAAGTAGATATATTCCAATATAATGTGCGTGTGTTTTGTCCACAGCTGCGTCTGAAGTTCCACAAGCAGCAGGAGGAGATCAGACGGTTGCGGGAGCTTCTCAACCAGAGAGACGTACGCGTCACACAGCTGGAGCTGGAGATGAAGAACATGAAAAACTCCCAGCCTCACCAGGGCTCACTTTGAGACTTTCCCCACGGAGTCACTTTCACCCCCTCGTGGACCACATGCATTACTGTACAAACGCACTAACCCCATCTTCAAACCACCGCACCTCTGCCCAGTCTCACTCACTGCACAGGGGGGATTTACACCTCTACTTTATGTTTCCTTTCTGTCTGTTCCTCACACGGTGCACATATTTTCTGTTCATGCACACACACTCAGACCGTGACTCTCACCCAGCTGTAATACAAAGTTAAACTCTTTGCACCTGTTGACTTTTACCCTGTTTCTTTTGTACGCTTCACAGCTATGCAAGTTTATTGTAATTTTTAGCTTTTCTATGCTGTTTGTAGCTGAAAAATAAAAAGGTTGTCTGTGCCTGTCTTGACTGAATGATGTGGCTGCCTGATGTTTGAAAGTTGTTGCAGGGCAGGAGCAGACACCCTGTGTGATTGTACGATAACGCTACATTTTATTTTTTATGCTTGGTGATTGTTTTTTTTCTTCCAATATTTAAACTACTGTAAGTGGAGATGGCTGTGGTGTTTTAATGTATGTTTGCTTGAATGGGCGCGATCTAAATGAATGCCGATATCATGATCCTCGCTGTGTTTCGTTGAGCTGCATATGTTTTTCTGTTTTTCGTTTTTTTTTAATGACTGGATAATTGGTGAATAATTAATCTGTTTCATAGCAGCTATTGTGTAAGCCATGTCTGTAACTGATGCCATGTACCAGTTCTTAATTTTTATATTTATTTTAAAAATACAGTCAAAGAAAAAATAAAATAAAATCGAGTTCTTGAATTCACAATTGTAATTTTGCAACTGTTTTAAAAAAGACTGAAAGATCGCTTTCATTTTTCCTGATGTGGAATCACTGTGAGAAAACTTTAAAGGAGCCCTGCACCACTTCTGGGTTTGTTTTCCTCCAGATTTCAGCTCTGAATGTATTTTCCTAAATAGGGTATCTTTTCTTTGCTCTCTGTAAAAAAACTGAAACATATCACTGGGGTTTATTATTCATGTTTAAGCTGAAAGAGTATCTAATACTGTAGTGGATAGTCATATCTGAGCATCTCATTGCTCTGATAAGTAATAGTGGGAAATAAATATATGTTATAAGATAATGGCATTTTTACCTTGTACACCATTGTGGCAATTCCTCTAACATCTCAGTCATTAAATCAAGTTTTTTTAATTTGTCAATTCTTTAATTCTCTGGCTTAGACAAAAACTGTGTTTTTTATTCATATTTGGTTTCTCAGTATCCAATTAGAGATATACACACAGATATTACAATGCAAGAAATATACATTTATACGATTTGTTTACATGAATTACTCTTAACCAGGATGTGCAGTTATTGACAAAATAATTATTGAGCTTTATAGTTGATTTGCAGCTCAATCTAGAACACTGACAGCTATGAACTGTTTTAATTTGTATATTTAGTTTGTATTTGTATAAGTAAATGGATGTTGAGTGAGATGATATTTATTACTATATAGTATATATAATTACTCTGGTCAACTGCTGTTTCTATGTCAAATAATTAATTGTCAAGCTCAAATTTAGGCCAACCGGGACGATGAATACTAATACAGGTACGTGGATTTTATTTATTTGTAAATGAAATATTGCCAGTATGATGAGTTGAAATACTAAATCTGGAATTGAAGAGAAATTAACTCCACTGGAAGACATGTATTTATCTTTTAAATGTGACAGGAAACTCATCAATACTTTTAGAGGCTTAGATTTGATAATCTGTGAATACAACTGCAAAGACTTAAAAATCTTTAAAACATACACAAATGTACACAAGAGTAAGTACAATCCACCTTAATGTCATATGTAAACATGTTTTCCTTCAGGTAACCTCTGAATGGTGTTCACAGTATTTGCCATGTGCAGTCGGACCAGTTTCTTACATTATATATATATATATATATATATAATTAAAGAGCCACTTACTATACTGCATAACACCATGCATGCCTGTATTCATGTAGGCAACGCCATAATGATATTTTAGATTTGGCTTACATTTCACAGCCTGTTCTTTATAACACATACAGACACACTGGCTTCACTACAATTGTGACCTCTCTGACCTCTGGCTGGACAGTTCCAGCACAGCTTCATCTCTGGCTGACTTTTGTCCCGGAGCAGTAACGCCCGGTCTATTGTAAACTCTAACCCCCACTGCTGCTGGTGGACAAGTCTCAACACATTCCCACAATGCACTGCTGTTATTGCTCAAGGGCTGATTTGGCTGTTTGATCACATCACAACTGTTAAAAGTGACACGTTGACCACTAGAGACATGTCAACCAACTTATCTGTGTCCGTGTAACTGTAGAGTTACATTTTCCCCATTCACAAAGCTATTTTATTTACATTTGTATAGTATTTCTGCTTCTCTAAGTAGTTTACAATCTACTCCATAATCTTGTGTTTAAAAGACAATCAATGGTCAGCCTGGAAATGCAATGGTGTATGCGGTTTATACCACAAATAAATATCTGTAGCTGAATAACAAAGGAGCTGCCATATTTGAACACATTTGTTCATAGCAGTTTTGTAGTGACTGAGCTGTCACTACAAAACTGAGAATTTGGGTTATGCACTTTAGTTAACGCTGGCCCATTTCCATAGCATGTAGTAGGACCACATGAAACCGTAACATATTTAATAACATAATGATCGAAGAAATTCTTAAAGAGGCCCCTTTTTATACTTTTGGGGGTTTTCCCTTTCCTGTAGTGTGTTATATAGGTTTTTGTGCATGTACATGGGCTGCAAAGGCTACAATTCAAAAGTTCCCTGCAGAGGGAGTTTCTCTCGATTGGACTCCTTTGTTTACTTCTGCGACATTGTGACATCACTATGTAACACTTGTGCTTCTATTGGCTAGTGCTCCAACACGTTGTACGTGATAGTCTAAGGGGCGGGACATCTCTAAGCGGTTGACCAATCACAACAGAGCCTTACCCGATGATATTTATGAGGTACCATGTGTCAGTAAAGGTTCCTTAGACTTAATTTCCCACTTGTTAGTATGAATAAACATTAGCATGAATTATTGACGAAAAGCAGTGAAGGGTGGAAAATGAAATTGTGTCTCTTTACAAATCTTTTTCCTGCTGTTTCTCCAAGTTCTCTCATGAATGAATCATCACAATGCTGTGGTACTGTGCTGATTGCTTTGCTGAACTAAAATTGTGAAAGATGGATCATCACTCTGTTGCTTTATTATTAATGTGGCCAATACCAAGTCCTCAGAAAAACCATCTCAAGAAGCCAAATGAGAACAACAATATCAATCCATTTCGGAGAGCTCTCGGTATTAAACCATGCACACTCTGACAGTCTCTGTGTTATACTGGAGCAATAACGTGGCTGCAGAGTCGAGTGAGGCATTCACTCTCTGATTTAATAAAAACATGTATTAAAAGTTTTTTGCTGGCTTCACATGACCTCATTGTGTCTGGTCAATGCATTTAATCCAGTTACTCTGATATCTTTAAATTGTCTGTTAGATGTATTCAGTAAAAACGGAAACATATGCTTTCTTTTAATATAGTTTTGAAAAACAATATTGATCACATAACGTATAATTTAATATTTCTGGGAAATCCATTTGTCTCTTGTCTACCTAAAACAATAAATTGAAGTAAAAAGCCCTTCACTCAGTGGCTCAGACCCATTAATATTTGAGCAGAGTAAGCTATTTCTGTTACAAAATCAGCAGTGGTGCTTTCAGGTCCGGTAGCTCTCTCAGTTAACTATTGACTATGTGTGTTGAGTCTCTGAGGCTGCAACATGTGGAAAGCAAACATCATTCATCTGTACATGATTGCCTGTCTTGTGTTCAAAGTTAACAAAAATAGGCTCTAAAGGAAGCAGCCTGGAGAAGATCAGCCGCCTGTAACGTTTTTAAAACAAATGACTGTATACCATTTCTGTAGATTGAACATTGACTACCTTTGTCACATGTGTTTTACACTAACTACAAGCTACTCTCTTGTTCCGGAAAACTCTTCTTTCTTTAAACAGTGACATTCACCAGTCATGTTATTGGTCAGTTTATGCTGTGGAGCAGAGAAGACGGTTAACTCTATCCCCCGGACCTCACTGGAACCGGTGTCTGTTTTAGGAGAGAAAGGTAACACAGAACCAACAATAAACGAGTCCAACGCCCCTGAGTCCCTTAATATCTTTACCGGTACCTTCTCTTTGCTCCCGACCAGTGAAACAAAACCATCAGACACAAAAGCTTTATAACCAGGGTCTATCTCCTCATGTTCACTGACTTGAGCTTGAATTACCGACTCAGATAAAGAGGACTGAGTGTGTTTCCGCACAGCCGCAATGACACTTTCCCTTTCCACTGCACTTAGCGATGCCACAGTCCCAAACGCTTTTGCCGACACAGCCCCAGGCCTGGACTTTCTCTTCCACTCAGGACAATCGTTTCTCTAGTGTCATTTATTAAAACAGTAATTACAGATACGATTGGGGTCAAACTTACCCCGATTCCCACGGTCAATCCTAACTGGAAACTTATCTTTTCCTTCTGAAACACCTTTACTGAAGTGAGCCACCGCACTACTCTCTTTGTATCCCGCATCTCCACGACCACGGCTGTCACCAAAAAACACTTTATGGGTCAGAGTAAACTCATCTGCCAGCTTGGCTGCCTCTGAAACTCTGTTTACTTTCTGCTCATTAATGTAGGTAACAACACGGTCAGGCAAGGTACTTTTGAATTGCTCAAGCAAGATAAGCTCCTGCAGATCTTCCAGAGTTTTTACCTGTGATGAAACACACCAACGGTTGAAACTAGTGGTTAAATCACGAACAAACTCCATGTGTGACTGCTTCTCTTTTCTGAGTAACCTAAAGCGCTGTCGATATGCTTCAGGTACTAACTCAAATGCCCGAAGTACAGCAGCTTTCACCAACTGGTAATTTCTACTGTCTTCAGCAGCCAAGGCAGCGAAAGCCCCCTGGGCCTTTCCAGTGAAGACAAACTGAAGCAGAAGGGTGCGCTCAACATCAGACCAGTCTCGTGCCTCTGCTAGACGCTCAAATAACACAAAGAAAATGTCTGGGTCCTTTTCGTTGAACCTCGGAACTATCCTCAAATTAACGGCAACATCAAATGCTTGATTTACAGGAACCTGACCTACAGTCTCTGCAGCTCTCCTAGTCTCAGATGGAAGCTTACCTTCACTCATCAGCTCCAATCTATAGCGCTCCAAGTCTAGTTTTTGTCTAACCTGAACTTGAGCCATCTCCGCTTCCTGAAGACGGGCATTTTGTCTCAACTTTTCTACCTCCACATCACGTTCCAAGTGTAGCATTAGAAGCTCTTTCTGTTCCTTAAATGATAGTCCAACCCCAAGTCCAGACAGGACTGGAACCACACCTGAAACATTACCTGACTCAATTGACTGTTGGGAGGCAGGCCCCAGAAAGACAGACAAAACACTTTTTTCCACTAACTGTGCCTTTATTTCTACCAACAACTCCTCTTTATCAACTTTTTGGGAAGATCAAGACCGTAATGGTCAGCCACTCTCAAAAGCTGATCTTTTTTATAAGTACCCAACAAATCCTCATTTGGGGACTCAACAAAATCTTCAATAGAAGCCATTTAACTGTTTGCCGACCAAGGCAAGGTTTTTCCAGCAGTAACTGATAGTGAAAGACAGCTTTACATATTGAAACCCCACTCCTCTGGCTAACTACCTTACCAAATGCTTACTGACTCACTCAACCCTAGTCTTCGTGTAAAATTGTGGG